CCAAAATATGACCTTGAGTCTATCTACCTGAATTCTACCTGAATTTCAAAACATCTCAGGACAGGTCTGAGGCATGAAAACTAATGAGCGAAGACCATATGAGCTGTGGGAGAATATCAAGAATATCATCCATGAAGAATGCAAAAGGTCATTACAAAGACAGAGGGGGAAGAAAAGACCAGGATGGATGCCAGAAGGACTCTGAATATAGCAACAGAGCACAGAGAAGCCAAAGCAAAAAAAAAAAAAGAAAAAGAAATTAGGATATTAAGGAGCTGAACAGAAGGTTTCAAAAAGCAGTGAGGGAAAACAAAGTAAAGTATTATAATGATATGTGCAAAGAGCTGGAGTCAAGAAAATCAAAGGGGCTGAACTCACTCAGCATTTGTAAAGCACAAGGAACTGAAGAACAAATTCAAATGTCAACTTGCTATATACTTAAGGATGTTTTGGGCAGAATACTAAAAGATCCAGGAAGTATTAAAGGAAGATGGAAAGGGTATACAGAGTCATTGCACCAAAAGGAATTGGCAGACACAGTAGAATTTCAAGAAATAACATATGAGCAAGAGCCTATGGTGATGAAGAAAGAAGTTCAAGCTGCTTTGAAGGAATTGGCAAAAAGTAAGGCCCCAGGAATTGATGTATACCAATTGACATATTTCAACTAACAGCTGTACTCAAGTCGTGTCAAGAAATCTGGAGAACAACCACTTGGCCAACTGACTGGAAGAGATCTGTATTTGTTCCCATTCCAAAGAAGGGTGATCCAAAAGAGTGTGAAAATTATCAAACATGAAAATTATCAAACACTGATATCACATGCAAGCAAGATTCTGCTGAAGATTATCCAAAAACGACTGGAACAGCACATCAACAGAAAACTGCCTATAGTGCAGGCTGGGTTTAGAAGGGGTCATAGTACTGGGGATATTGTAGCTAATGTTAGATGGATCTTGGCTGAAAGTAGGGAGTACCAGAGAAATGTCTATCTGTGTTTCATTGACTATGCAAAGTCTGACTGTGTGGATCACAACAATTTGTGACTAACTCTGAGAAGAATGGGAATCCTAGAACACTTGATCATGCTAATGCAAAACCTATACTTGGACCAGGAGGCAGTTGTCAGAACAGAGCAAGGAAACACAGCATGGTACAAAACTGTGAAGGGTATATGCCAGGGATGTGTCTTATCTCCCTACCTTTTCAACCTGTATGCAGAACAGATTATCTAGGAGGCTGGACCATATGAGGAGAAATGTGGTATCAGGATTGGAGGAAGATTCATCAATAATCTGCACTGTGCAGATGACACAACCCTGCCTGCTGAAGCTGAGGATGACCAGAAGCGCTTACTACAAAAGGTCAAGGACTGCAGCCTTCAATATAGATTGAGGCTCAATATCAAGAAAACAAAGATTTTCACCACTGGGCCAAATGGCAGCATCAGGATGGATGGTGAAGAGATTGAGATTGTTCACAGCTTTAGTTTGCTTGGTTCCAAAGTCAACACTCCCAGCACCAGCAGCCAGGAAATTAAAAGATGTTATTGTGATAGGAAAGTCTGTTAAGGACCTCTCTGAAGTACTAAAGAGCAATGGTGCCACTCTGGAGACTAAGGTGCGCCTGATACAGGCCATGATCTTTGCAATTACTTGCTATGCATCAGAGAGCTAGACAATGACTAGGGAGGACAGAAGGAGAAGTGATGTCTTTGAGCTGTGGTGTTGGGGAAGTGTACTGAATATATCATGGACTACTAAGAAAACAGTTTATCCGAGACAGGGTTAAACCAGGCTGCTCCTTGGAGGCAAGGATTCTGAAACTTCATCTGACATGCTTTGGACATGTTGAAAGGAGAGACCAGTCCCTAGAGAAGGACATCATGCTTGGGAGGGTGGAGGTACAGTGCAGGAGAGGAAGACCTTCTATGAGGTGGACTGATTCAGTGTGACTGAGGTAATCGGAGTAGGTGTGTCAGACGCAGTGTGACTGGCATAGGACAGAGCAGGGTTTAGGGCTGTTGTTCAGTCGCAGGAGACTTGATGGCACATAACAACCACCACCACCATAAACTTAGCTAAAAAGAAAAAATGAGAGACATAAAGAATATTATTACTCAATCAAAGATTGTAAGTTTATCATCATTATTGCTAATGTTTTCATGTTCAAGTGAATAATATATTGGCAAATGAAGTTGGATACACTGCTAAAAAGTCTGGAAAACAGTTGTCTCAATAGGAAAAAAGAAAAATTCATTAGAAATACTTTCTTTTTCTCGATAACACTTATTACTATATGATATCATTTTTATGTTGCTTTTGACTATCTCCTTCTGTTGTTGCTGTTGTTAGATGCCATCAAGTCAGGTACAACTTACAGCCACCCTATGAACAAGAGATCTGAACCCTGTCCTATCATGTGCCATCCTCAACATCTCTGACACACTTGAGTCCCCTGGAAGAGTCACTGTGTCAGTCTTGTTGAGGGTCTTCTCTCCACTGACTCACTCCATTTCCAAGCATGATGTCACTTTCCAAGGAATGGCCCCTCCTAGCAACACACCCAAAGTATGTGATGTGAAGCTGTGCCACCACTGTTTCTAGGACACACTCTGGTTGTACCTCTTCCAAGACACATTTATTCATTCTTTTGGCAGTCGACGGGATATTCAGTACTCAGACTGTCATATCTATGAAAGCAGGGGGTTTGTCTACTTTGTTCACTGCTGCTTCCTACCACTTATAACAGTCACTGAGGGAGATCTGATGGCACAGCTCGAAGTGTGTTATGCTCCTAAGTTAAAAGTGGTATGTCTCATTGGCAGTTCAAATCTGCCAATGGCTCCAAGGGAGAGAGATGAGCCATCTTCTCTCTAGTGAATTATAGCCTCCAAAAGTCTTACTGGATGGTAATGAGCTGATGTCACTGTCAACAGCAGACATGTGATATTGTGAAATGCTAAGTGTGGAGTGACATATTCTTGCAGTACAGAATCTATTACATATCACTGCTTCTGATATGAACCCCATAAATTGGGAAAATAAGATAAAAGTACAATTAGTAAAGACAGTTCTGCCAGGAAAGAGAGGCTCTTGAGAGTGATTCGGACTGATGGCGTGAAGCACAAATGTCCATCACAATGCGAAATCAAAGAAAGTTTTAAATGATTAAAACAAATGTCACAAGTCCCTCACATTTAGATTCATGCATTTAACTAACAGATTGAGCTCCTGTGTACATACATGCCTGAGTGTTTGCTTTTTCTCTTTTTTAATCTTTTCCATTTTTTTCAAAAAAGTTATTTGATTTTTCTTGCTCACAGCAAATCAGAAGGTACAACTGGAATGGCATTATATGAGGAGGCTCACGAGTGGAAGAGACAGTCTGGCAGCCAGTATGCTGACAACGAGGAAAAAGAAAACAAAGCAGACACTAAAAAAAGCACAGGAACTTGATATCACTTTGTTTTGATTCAGATATATCCATACACAAATACACAAATACACAGTCATTCACACACACACACAAACACACACACACGTATATTTATCTTTCTCAGGAAAGCTTTGCTATTTCAGTATTCAGTAAATGTATTGATGAAACAAGCAGGAAAAAGCTTAAATTATGTTTTACAGCTTTGAAGGCAACAAGGAGTCACTTCAACCATTAATTTCTATAAAAATGATAAAAGAAAAAAAGATCACTGGTTATTTAGGGTGCAAGTAATTTTGCACTGTGAAACATCTCATCCACAATGATGACATCAGCTACCTTGCTTGATTTTGTTTTGAGAGCCTATTATGTACAAGGCTATCCCTTAAGTCCTTTAAATATAGCTGCTATGCTATTTCTCCAAACAACCCTCTGACAAAATAATCCTCATTTTCAAGACTAGGACACTGAAATCAGAGAAGGTAAAGGCATATACAAAATCAGAAGGCAAGAGAGCCAGGATTCAAATGTAGGAGTCTGGATGAGTAAACGCAGGCTGCTTCCATAGTACTAAAAAGCCCGGCAAATGATGTTTTAACCTCAAGAATCATACGCTGTGGAGAATGTGGCTTCTGGAGCCACATCATCATGGCTTCCAAATTCATAAACTCAAATTCATGTTTACAACCCCTTTTCATTAATTATCTTTCTATTCAAAAGACACAATTTCCATTTGTGACAAAGAATGCAACCGTATTTATTAAGTAATCACCAAGTAAAGAGCGCTGGTGGTAAGGTCTAAAGATAGTTGTACTATTAATCCAAAGACCATGCCACATTGGTAGTTGGTATCCATCAGTAACTCCAAGAGAAAAAGATGAGCAGTGTAATTTACAGCCTGAGAAGCTCAATAAAGGGTCAGCTATGGGTCGGTTACAACTCAATGGCAATGAATTTACATTCTGAGTTAGTTATCAAGTCTGCATTATTTATTGATAACTTCAATGAACTATCAAATATTTTACCTTCTATTTCCCAGTCAATGAAAGATACAAGACTATTATATTGTTGTTGTTGTTGTTAGGTGCCACCGAATTGACCACAGTTTGAAACAAATAATGTATGATTCAGATGCATTTCAGAGAGTTGTTAGAAGATAAAACAAACTCATGATGAGAAATTCTCAAAACTCCGATTTTTCCCACTTCCACTGCGCCCAAACCAAACCTGTTGCCATTGAGTGGATTCCAATAGAATAGAGCAGAATTCAACCATAGTGTTTTTAAGGCTATAAATCTTTATGGAATCAAATTTCCTCACTTTTCAATTGAGGAGTAGGTGGTAAGTTTGAACCTCTAACCACTCAGTTAATAGTCCAGCACATAATCACAGCATCACTGGGGATTCTTGGTTCCACATTAAGAGGAAATGTTATAGACTATTTTGGAAGTATTTCTTTGGCAAGATAGAGTATTTCATGTTTCCTTTCTATAGCATAAGAAATATGCCAAATAGGACTGAAAGTATTTTATTGTATCTTCTGCTTATGTAAAATTCCAACTTACCATATCTGTGCTAAAACAGGTTGTGGTAACCCAGACTGAAAGAAAAAGTTCCGAGCTTGATCACCTGTAAATGCAATGGGAAAGAAGTTTCAGAAGAAAACAACAGCGGTGTCAGAAATCTTCTCACAGTAAAATTGCAAAAAGAAGAAATAAGCTGGCCATCCTGCAAATCTGCAGTTGATACATGGTTAAAAAGTCCAATGTGAAGGCTTTACGAAATAGCGAGCTAAATGCAAGTGAGGTGACTTTGTAATGTCATTTTTACAATCATCTCAAAAGGCTCAACTATTTTCAGAGGCACACTGTTCACCCTAATAAATCTGCTGTTAACTCAGAGGTTGCCAGCTAGCCAGTAACAACAAAGCAAATGGCAGAAATCCTGAAGAAGTCAATGATCCAGATTATTAGTTCATAAAAATGCTAAAAATCGCCTCCCCTATATCTACATGTAAAATTTTAAGTATCTTTATTATCTGTACTGAAGATAAGTGACAATATTTAAAAGAATTAACACTGATGATTAAGAATTAATAAATTAAAGAGCATTATGATAATATAATCTCTTCCCATGCAATTTACTGTCTCTGAAAACCCACTGGAAGGTCAGTTATGGGTCAGTTCCAACTCACACAAAAGCAAATCCCCAGGAAATTCAGATCTCACTTTTTTCTGAAGTTAATTCCTGAAGAGTAATCAAACAGGAAAGATAACAGAAAAGCCAAAGTACAAAAGGAACTTTAAGGACACAGCAAAAGGAGAAACAATTTTTTTAATAGTTCAAAATCTGCTCATTTATTTAATAATTTCTCAAACCAATCTAAGACTAGAATTAAGTAACTATTTTAGATCAAAAGCCATAGGATAATCCTACATTCCATAAGGCATGTGGCCCTTTGATCTTAACCAGCTCCCAACAGAGATGAGCCTGAAAGAAGTGGTTTGACATTTATTAAGGTCATGCACAGGGAGCTCTGGTGTCCTAGTGGCAAGACGCTGCACTGCAATCCCAGAGGTATGCGGTTCAAATCCACCAGATGCTCTGCTGGAGGAGGGAGCAATCTCCTCCTGTACCAGTCAGATCTGATTTGATGGTACATGTAAAAAGAATACAATTTACAAAAAAAAAAAAAAAAGTCGTGCACACAAAATTTGAATGGATTACGGAAAAAAGCAATTGCAAACCAACAAACTAACAAAAAATGCAAGAAAGTTAAACAGTCGCCTCACTCATATGTGCCTGCCACTTCAGTCTTGCCTACGAGATTTTCCACAGATACGTATGTATTACTAATGACAAGCAGGCAGAACAGTAAAAATGTTAAGTACAATTACCAGTAATAAATCCAGATATTGGCTTTAAACTGTGGAATTGTTGATCATGCTTCGCTCTTTCCTCTACAGTTATAGCCCAGATATCCAGGCTGCCTATAATTAAAAAGGGGGGGGTGACAAATAGGTTATTCAGTGTGAAAATACGTACTACTTCCACAGAATTTTAAGGTCCTGTTGATAAGTTATAAATGAAGATCTTTTTGTTTTGAAAAGTACACACATAAAACTAGAAAATTAAGATTAAAGAAAAAATACAGGGAATTGGCGCAGTGATGGACAGAGGGAGAATTTAGTCATTTGAACAATATGTACTGAGGGACTTACATGCTTCAGGCGCTGCTAGATATGGGGATAAAGAGGTGACCATGACAGACATGATTTCTGTCCTCACAAGTTTTACTATCTTATAGACAAACAAATCTGTCTTGGAAGAAGTGCAACCAAGGTGCTCCTAAGAGGCAAGGATGGGGAGACTTCATCTTACATACTTTGGACATGTTGTTAGGAGAAGCCAGTCTTTGGGGGGAAAATACCAGGCAGGGAAAGGTGGAGGGTCAGAGAAAGAGATGGATCCACAACAAGATGGATCGACATAGTGAATATAACAAGCCTGAATCCACTGCGGTAAAGTCCTAGCAGAGATCAGATGACAAGGCACAGGATAGGCCAGGACTACTGTTTATAAGGTCGCTGTAAGCTGCAGTTGATTCAATGGCACTTAAAAACATGATTACTAAAGGGACCTTTATTACTGTTTCAGGATTAATCCTGAAATTAAGAACAAAAGCAAATGATATTCAGTAATTTAAAGGCAAAACTGAATGAACACAAAATAGGTTGTAACTCGAATGATCTTCAAAATATCAAGAATTTCCTGTGCTAGAATCCTACGTGGGCCTTCACAGGTTTAATGAAAGGATGGTGCCTCATGCCTTCTTCCTCTCTTTATGATGTCGAGATTAGAAAGTTACCAAGAGTAATACATGAATTTCAGGATAAACTTAAACAAAAAGCATTACAAAAAGTTGTCTAAAATCTATGAAGGAACTCCACATTGACTGGACAGTTAACAACATGAGAATTAGTGTAAATTTTTTTATATTGTATAATAAGGTGTTGGGGAGCTCTGGTGGCCTAGTGGCAAGAAGCTGCACTGCAATCCCAGAGGAACACAGTTCGAATCCACCAGACGCTCTGCCGGAGAAGGAGGCGCAATATCCTCCTGTACCAGTCAGATATGATTTGACGGTACACGCACACAAAATAAAAAAAAAATAAGGTATTGTAGTTTAGGTTGTTGAAAAGGTTTTCTCGGTTTTTAAAAACATAATAATTGACGGATGAAATATTATGATAAAACAGGGAATTGCTTCAAAAGAATCCAGATGAAACAATGTTGACCCTGAGTTGGTAATTATTAACAACAGATAGCCACATGAAGATATTCAAGTTTGTGTATATCTGAAACTTTTCATAATAATATTTTTTTGTAAAAAAATAGTCTCAAAATACTTTACAAAGAAAAATTATTTAAAACTTACCACCAAAAGGTGTTGGAAACTGAGCCATGGTTCTGTTACTTTTACCTTGCTAATCGCCGCCTGTAATTGAAACACATTTTAAGGTTTATGAAAGTTTCATTCATGCATACTTACAAATTTATTTATATATTCTCTAAGTACCAGAAGACTAATTCTAAACTAGAGTACAATCCCATAAAAGAAAGTGAGAATTCAGAGATTCACTCATTCATTCTTTTCATAGCTTCTTCGTGACAGATACAGTGTTAGGAACTGGAGGTTGTCGTTAAAAAAATTGTCCTTATTTCTGGAGAAGACTCCTGGAAAAAATGGAGTGCCTTGATCTGGGACTTTCAGGCTGTGCCTGAGGATTTGTGCTGGCAAGTGGATGCTTGCCAGACCACAGAGGTCAACATCAATTAACTTCAAGAGGTATGAATAAGTCTATAAAGCTGTGGTTAGGTACCACTGAGTCGAGTATAACTCAGAGCAGGCATATGAACAACATAACTGAACCCTATCCTATCCTGTGCTATTCCCATGATCTCTGGCACACTTAGTCTCATCAGAAAAGAGTGGTCATTAAAAGCCCTCAGAGAGTTTTCTAGTCCGCAAAGACAGTGTCAGACCCCCTCTATCAGATACAGAAGCTCCACACTGGGGACTTTCTTGGACCTAATCCATGCATTTCTTGCTCATGATGAGTCTAATTTGTACCGTTTATCTATAATAAATCTATCATTGCAAGAATAGTATCTTCCAGAAAGTTCTAGAAGCTGTTTCAGAAAACTATCAAACCCAAAGAAAATGAAGAAGCCAGTAATCTGCAACTGGGTATCTGGTTTTCTAAAGGATGATGTTCTTCTAATCTGTGGTATCTGACTTAGCTCCAGGGGGTCAGAGAGAATGTGCCTTACAGGTAGCTGGTGTAAAAAGTTGAGAAAGTGGAAAGTGGGTCAATACTCACATTTTATTATTACATTTATATTATGATAGCTAAGAAGCTATCATAATAACCATGTAAGATCTATCCCAGAAATACAAGTTCAGTTTAACCTCAAAAATGTAGGTAATGTTGGTGGGATTGTAAAATGGTACAACCACTCTGGAAGGCAGTTTGGCAATTCCTCAAAAAGTTGGAACACAGAAATTCCATATGACCTAGTTATTCCATTACTTGGAATATACTCTGAGAAAATGAGAACTGAGGCTCAAATGGACACTTGTATATCAATGTTCATAGCAGCATTATTCACCATTGCAAAGACATGGAAACAGCCCAGATGTCCAACCACAAACGAACAAATTGAGAAGTTGTGGTACATTCATACAATGGAATACTACGCAGCACATAGGAGCAATGATTTTATAAAGTACTACCTTACTAGGGAGGGACTGGAGAGCATTATGCTGACTGAACTATATCAGTCCCACAACGACAAATACTGTATAAAGCCATTATTGTAGAATGAGTATGAAGATCTAAGAGCAGGGAGAGTGGAAGCAGAGGGGTGAAGATAGATAGTGGGAGGGTGTTAATCACAGGGTTGCAAAATTCGATGGGGGGGTGAAGCAAATGGGAAGGGTCTCTCGTGAAAAAACAATGTATTCAAACTTTGTAAACAAATCAGTATAAAATTAAAAAAAAATGAAAAATATCAGATAACATAATTCACTATATTAACAGATAATCGTATGGTACAGGACAAGATAGTGCTCAGATATTAGTCTCGACTGTACCTAACAACATATCATGGACTGAATCATGACCTCCATGAAACGATAACTGTAGGAGAGATGAGAGTGGATGCAACACTCCTTAATTCAACCATAGTCCTGATTGGGTATAAAGGGAGTTCCCCTAGGGTGTGATCTTTAATATCTCACCTCATTAGAGCTAAATTAATTACTTGGAGTGCATCTTTTTGGACCAGTGCAACAAAGTTCTTTGATAATGGGGAAGGCCAAAACACATGGAGGTCTCCAGAGAACAGTGGGCCTACAGATGCTAAAGGAAAGACTTTTCCTCCACCACTGACAGAAAGAGCGCAACCTCTTCCCTGGAGCTGGCATCTATCTGGAGTTTGTTCTATACAGTCAGAGAATAAACTTCTGTTTGCTAAAGTCATCAACTTGTGGTCCCTTTGTTATAGCAAGATTAGGTTTCTAAGATAGTGCAGGAAAAAAGGCTTCTGACAAAAACTCAACAGTCAGGGTAAAAAGATTACATCAAACTAGGATTAAGAGGAAACGTGCTCAAACAATATAAAAAATTTAAGAAAAACTATAGCTAGCTTTTTATTGGTATTGGCAAGCTAATACGAAAATTTATATGGAAATAAAAAGAATATCTATCATAACCAAAGCAATTTTTAAGAAGAACAAAATTATAATTTATTCTACTAGATTTCAAGATTTGCATTAAAGAAACAGTAAGGAAGACCTTTTTAGGCATAATGACCAAGAGAAAGAAATGAGAGTCCAAAAATAAATCTATGTATGGTTGGTTAGCCTATTTTATTTTTTTTCCATTTTTTATTTTGTTTTATTATTTTGTGCATGTATACTGTCAAATCAGATCTGACTGGTACAGAAGGAGATTGCCCCTCCTTCTCCAGCAGAGCATCTGGTGGATTCGAACTGAGATTTTATTTCTTAAAAAATAATGTGGCCAAAGAAAACCAGAAGAAAAGAAAAAGTCTTTTAGAAAATTGATTTAGACCAATGAGATACTCAGGGCGATGGGTGAGGGGAATTGATGCATCCATATCTTTATTTCATCACAAAATGCATACAAATTAACTTAAAATGAACCACAGACTTAAATGTAAAATGATACAATGTCATATAAAAATTGTCAAAGAAAATATGGGAGAATATATTTGCCATGTTTATCTAGTCAATAATTTCTTTGAAAACAAAAACTATTAAAAAGAAAAACTTAACAAATTAGTTCATCAAAATCACTTTGTCTCTTTAAAGGTACCAGGAGGAAAACAAACAAAACAAAAATGCAAGCCACAGAATAGGAGAACACATTTATAAAACATTTATCAGATAAAAGACTTGATTCAACATGTATAAAAAAATTCTTATTGTTAAAAATAAAAAAAGAAAAGGATACAATTCAGTAATTGGTAAAAGATGTAAACATACAAACAACACAGAAAATAACTTATGGAAATGGTCATCGAATACAAGAACAGTTACACAACGTCATTCGTTATCAGGGAAATGTAAATGAAAACGGCAGTGATGTAGATATATCCCAAGAAAATGAGAACTGAGGCACAAATGGAGATTTGTACACCAATGTGCATAGCAGGGTTATTCACCATCACAAGAATGTGGAAACAGTCCAAACATCTAACCACAATCATATGGATTGAGAAATTATGGTACATTCATCCACAGGATAGAATACTAACAACATGTAAAAACAATTATTTTGAAATTGCTACCTAATCTGGGAAGTACTGGAGAGCATTATGCTAAGTGAACTCATTACTCAGTCCCATATGGACAAATACTGTATAAGACCATTACTGTAGAAATAGGTAACTAGTAAAACCTGTATGAAGATCTAAGGGGGTGCAGAGAGGTAGGGACAGGTAGGGGGTAATCAAAGGTTACAACATTTGATGAGTGGAGGAATGGGAAATATCTTGTGTAAAACATTGTATACAAACTCTGTAAGTAAACCAGTATAAAATAAAAATTTTATTAGAAAAAAATTATTAAAATTAAAAAGACTGGATGTCAAGTATTAATGAAGATATATTGTATCTGGAAGTTCATAAACTAGTAACAATAATGTAATGGTACAACAATTGCTTCTAAAAATCCACCAGAGGGTCATCTACGGGTCAGTTCTGACTCAATAGCACATAACACAACAATGGTATAACTACTTTGGAAAACATTTTGGCAGTTCTTAAAAAATTAAATGTGTACCTAACATTAAGAGAAATGAAAATTTGTGTCCACACAAAGATTCCTACCAGCTTTGTATTTAAGAATAAAAAACTGGAAACCCAACTGTAAACTATCTCATGACTGGACAAACTGTATTACATCCATACAAAGATATACTACCAGAAAGAAAAAAGGAAAGTAACTGCTGCTACAAGCAATAATGCTTGCATACTTACATGCTTAATTTCAAAATAACTATCCTGGGTTAGAGAAGACAGGTTAAAAAAAAAAAAGAAGGGCCCTAGCAGCATGATCGCTAAGGAAGTACACTGCTAACCCAAACCACAACTTTCTAGCAGTTCAAATCTATCAGTGGCTCTGAGAGAGAAAGATGCACACTCTTCTCATGTGATATACAGCCTCAGAAACCTGACGGAGGATCAGCTATGGATTGTTTTGGACTCAATGACAAGAATTGAATTGTAGGGGCAGGAGGGAAGTTTGAACTCGTCACGGTAAAAATTCTGGACATCCTAGTAGGGAGCACTGAGTTGAGTTACAATCCAAAGGCATGCAGTTAGAATCCACCAGTTGCTCTGCCAGAGGACTGGCAATCTCCTCCCACGCAATTATACGACCTCTGAACACCCACAGGAGGGTCAGCTACGAGTTAGTTTTGACTTGAAGGTACACAAGAAGTTAAATATAAATTTGGCAGAACTTTAGCAGAACTCCCATCTAGCCATTAAGAAGAATTCATACTGAGACGGATGTCAAAAAAGTCTCTGAATATTGCACTAGAGCATCAAAAAGCCAAAGCAAAGGCAGGAAGTTAAGGAGCTGAATAGACGATTTCAAAGGGCCACTTGAGAAGCTAAAGTATTATAATGAAATGTACAACGAACTGGAGTCCAAAAATCATAAGGGCTGAACTAACTTGGCATTTCTTAAGCTGAAGGAATTAAACAATTCATGCCTCCAGTTGCAATACTTAAGAATGATTCAGGATGAATTAAAAGAAGATAGGAGTACACAGAGTCACTATACGAAAAAGAACTGGCTTACAAAGATTTTTTGTGAAACATATGATGAAGAGACAATGGTGATGAAGGAAAAGAAGTCTGCTCTGAAAGAACTGGAAAAAAAACAAGGCCCCAGGTATTGAT